AACGAAGAGAGAGAAAGAGAAGAGAGAGAGAGAGAGAGAGAGAGAGAGAGAGAGGAGAGAGAGAGAAGAAGAGAGAGAGGCGAGGGAGGGAGGGAGGAGGAGGGAGGAGGGAGCGAGGGAGAGAGAGAGTGAGGAGAGAGAGTGAGAGGAGAGAAAGTGAGAGAGAAAGAAAGGAGAGAGGAGAGAGAGAGAGAGAGAGAGAGAGGGAGGGAGGGAGGGAGGAGGTGAGGGAGGAGGGAGGCGGAGGAGGGAGGAGGGAAGGGAGGGAGAGAGTAAGAGAGAGAGGAGAGAGAGAGAGAAGAGAGAGAGTGAGAGAGAGAGAGAGAAGAGAGAGATGAGAGTGAGATGAGAGAGAAGAGTGAGAGAGAGAGAGAGAGAGAGAGAGAGAGAGAGACGAGAGGAGAGAGAGAGAGAGAGAGAGAGAGAGAAAGAAGAAAGAAAGAAAGAATGAAGAAGACGATTCTTGTGTAGGTGCAATTCTTGATGACAAAGTTATGAATCAAAATATTGTATCTATGTTGTTTTACTGTTATCTTACTCAGAGTAAACAGTATAACATCATTGGCATCAATAAACTGCAATAATAATATGCGAATTTCCATCCAAGGACATCTGCTGTCAAAATAAATAAAAAATTATGTTATACCAATACAAACGAATTTGGTTTTAATATAGACAAAAATATAATAATAAAAATAAAAATGAAATAAAAAATGTCAAAATAAAAATGAAATAAATAATAAAAAAATAGTAAAAAAAAAATAATAACATCTATCTAATGTCATCATTATATAACAGATTCTTTCTCATCTGCGTATATAAGAACGAAAACAAGATAATAAATCATAAATAAATATTCTGATATAAAAAAAATCAGATCTCCCATCTGCGGACATAACGAAAACAAGAAATAAAACACCATAATAAATAATAAAAAAGGAAAAGAAAGAAAGAAAAAAAAAAAAAAAAGAAAGAAAAAAGCAGATTCTTCCCTACCCCTTCGGCCACCGGATAAACACGAGACTTAAAGGACCACACACCTGCGCAGAGCCAGACACCTGCGGAAACATGACGCAATACGACAAGATCATCCGCGCAGATCCGACGTCCGTGACGGATTTGTTACGTGTGTGACGCGTAATCCGAACACGTGGCCGCTTCGTTCGGATATCGTTTCCGCTTTTCATTTTGTGAATGTGATCGGAAGTGCAAGCTTATATATGGGTGAGATCATGCATGATGTGTATATATATATATATATCATTATATATATATATATATATATATATATATATATATATATATATATATATATATATACATATGTAAATACACACACACACATACACACACACGCACACATACACACATTACATATAATATATATATATTATATATATATATATATATATATATATATATATATATATATATATATATATATATATATATATATATATGCGTATAATCACACATATGTTAAAAGATTTTATGTATTTACTTTCAGATACTTTTCCGTTTGGCAATACTCCTATTTGATTTCCGTATCCTTTTTCTTTATTTACTTTCGTATATTTTTTCCTATGCTGTATAAAGATTGCGAGAAAAGATAACCTTGGATACCCTTGCTTTACAAAAAAAGAAAATTCATATTTTCCTCTGATTTTGGGGTTTCTTTTTTACATTTATTCCTTCGAAACTGAAACTCCCATTATTGGTCCTTGGTGATTATTCTTTCTCCGTATCCTCCATCGTTTTATCATCTTCACTTCATCTCTTCCCTTACACACACACCTGTTCCTCTTCCGACCATGTCCCCCCTTCCCGTCCCCCTCCCCCCCCCCCCTCTCCTCTTTCTTTCTTTCCCTTGACTAACAATCAGATAATCCTCCTCCGAACTAACTCATTTTCGTTAAGGTCGGGGATTACCGATTAATTCTCCGGGATTAACAGAAGCAAACTTACACACACGCGTTGTTTGTCAGGATAAATTACTTTTCGCTTCGAGGGTGGTTCGCGCGCATTGGGAACGGGGGGGGGGAGGGGGGAGGCAGGGAGGACGGAAGGGGGAAAGGGAGGGTGAAGAAGAGGGTTTAGGTGGATAGGGAGGGGGGGGGGGGCTTGGGGAACGCTGCTGAGGGGAGGGAGGGGGGGAAGGGAGAAAGGGGGACCCCCCCATTGGCTCCCCGCTCTTGGCACTCATCGTCGCTGCTTTTGCTCGAACTGACAGAAAGTCCTGGGGGGAAAAAAGGAGTGAGGAGAACTACTGCAAGTGAGAGAAAGAGAGAGATGGAAAAAAAAAAGGGACGAATATGGACGTGTTTTCAATGACCGGAACCCGATTCGCTCGCCGCTCTCGACGTCGGCCGATGGGTGTTTGTCTGTCTCTCTTTCTCTCGCTCGGCGCCCGCTCTCACGTTTCTTCTTGCAGCGGCGGCCGGGGGAGTCGTCGGGTTTGAGGCCGCTCATTGACTCGTATTTGACATCGTTTTCTTTTTTTTTTGTATCCGGTGATAAGGGAGGGGGAGAGGGGGACAGGATGGTAAAGGGGAGAGAGAGAGGGAGGAGGACGGGATGGGGAGGGGGGAGAGAGGAGGAGACGAGGTGGGGGAGGGGGACGTGGTGGATAGAAGGGGAGGCGGGATGGAGGAGCGTTGATCGCAAACTAGAAAAGGTGTGAGTGGGGAGGGTATTGGGGGGGGAGGAGGAGGAGGAAGAGCACGGGCAAGGGGCGCGTTGAGGGCGAAGAACGACAATCGAGACGATGACGTTGGGTCGCGAACCATTTTGCTTTTCGACTATTTTTTTTTTTTTTGTACCTCCCTTTTCTTTCCTTAGCCGTTCAGTCCTCCATTTTACCCTCTCTTTATGAGTTGGGTCTAGCGCCGAGCTCTGTCCGGTTCATTAGCCGAAGGATCCATTTTTCCAGAACCTTCGCTCTCCTCCAAATCATCGGAATACCTTTTTTTGTGTCTGGAAGTGGAGGGAAGCGCGGGCGAGGAGGGAGAGAGCGACGGAAGAAAAGATGGCGTCCCTCTGTTTTTACCACCTGAAATCTAATAGTGTTTGGCGGAGGGCAGGGAAGGGGAAGAGGACAAGGAATAAGGGGAGGGAAGGGGAAGAGGACATATAATAACGACACATAATAAGGGGAGGGGAAGAGGACAAAATAAGGGGAGGAGAAGAGGACACAGAATAAGAGAAGGGGAGGGGAAGAGGACAAAGAATAAGGGGAGGCGAAGAGGACAAAGAATGAGGGGAGGGAAGGGGAAGAGGACACATAATAAGGGAAAGGGGAAAAGGACAAAGAATAAAGGGAGGGAAGGGGAAGAGGATACAGAATAAGAGAAGGGGAGGGGAAGAGGACAAAGAATAATGGGAGGGAAGGGGAAGAGGACACAATAAGGGGAGAATAGACAAAGAATAAGGGGAGGGGAGGGAGAGGACAGAGAATAAGGGGAAGGGAGGGGAAGAGGACACAAAATAAGGGGAGGGAGGGGAAGAGGACACAGAACAGGGGAGGGGAGGGGAGGGCATTCTTCTTACCCCTCATTCTCCTCTTCCCCGGCGGAACAAGAGCGTCCAGGTCGTGATGTTCACCTGTTGACTCACTGCTGATAATCCTTCAATTTGCACATATATTTTTAGTTGTTTTGCAAGTAAATATTTTGAGTCTAGGTTGACTGTTCATAATGCTCGGTGATTGTCAAAGATTATGACCGGATTACGAGAGAGAATTTAATGATGCTGTTTCTTGCAGTATTTTCCTGGGGTCTGGATGTGCATGCGCGGATCTATGCGCGAGAGCAGAATACGTTTGTATTCGCATGTGCCAGTTTATGTTCGTCTGAGCGTGCGTAACCGTGTATATACTCAAGTTGGACAATGCGTTTGTATATGTGTGTATATATACGCACATATACTCTCATGTGTTACCTTATTACCTATTTATTCGCCTTTTGTCCTCTTATTCTTCCTCCCCCCCCTCCTTCACCTTCTTTTGTCCTGTTCTGTTTTCTTAGGTCCTCGAAATGGCTGTCTTGCTGTTGTCTTTACGTAGCACGTGTTAGTGTAACGGCGATCAGACTCCTAGTTGTGTTGGTGTTATGTCGATGGACAAATGGTTCGTGGTGTTGTTATTGTTTTCATGTGGCTGGTATTTTTCGGGACCTGGAGCAACTGGGTTTTAATATGAGAGTGGTTGATACGTTTTTGTTATTGTTTTCCTCTAAGCATTTCGTACGGTTACTGGGGCTATGCTGCAGGCGATGGGCCAATCTCATTCTTAGTTTACCAAAATCTGTTTATACGTGATCTGATGCTGTTTAGCGCCCGGTCTGAAGTCCAAATAACGCGGGAAGCCTTGATGATGTCACAGTAGGCGGTTGATTAAAAGAAAAGATAAAGACAGATAAAGAATAATAGAATAATGAGTTGCATAATTTTAAACCAGCTTGGGAGTGCTTCTGTGACGTCACCATGGGTCCTCGCGCCTTTCCCTGATGTCGAATTCATTCCGTGGCGACGACACTAGTGGGGCGAATGTTCTCAAAATCAACCATTTCAATGCCATTTGCTGAGTAATTACATCTTGTACCTCATAATAATAACCTTTGATAAAAAATAGGTTATTTCTCGATCCTGGCCGTTATCCTTGAATTTTATGGGGCAAAAATATTACTATTTGAAGTCATATACCAATTCATGTTATGTAAGGTAAGGTACCTTGAATGTAGTCATGATTCACATACGTCGTCCGCAGTAGATTACATTTCTTTAAACCAGAACACCATGACCATTAACAGGCAAGAAAAAATAAAAGTAATCAGTCATCTCCATTCTTCGCACATAATATAAATCCGCCCAGATTGAATTCCTCCTGAAAAATCTGAGATGCATAAATTTCGATCAAATCATATGTTTTCTTTAAAAGTTCCTTACTATTTATTCTATCAACAGTGCTTAGGTAATGCTAATAAAACTGTTCTTGTTCTCCCCAGTCTCGCGGTTGATGGGAGGATCGAACATGAACATGAACATGGGCAACGTGACGTCACTCTCCACGTGCAGTATGGCCGACAACAAAGCGATGCAGTTCCCCCTCTCACAGCGAAGAAAACGGAGGGTACTCTTCACGCAGGCGCAGGTGAGTTCTTGAAAGCATGACGTTCGGATGCAAGAAATATTCGAAATATTCTTAATCTCTGCGTAAATACATGATTTGCAAGGAAAAGACAAAAGTAAAAACAAAAAGAAGACAAAAAAATAAGCCAGAATCAAAGATACAAATGTCTAGTTGCTGTGATAGGAAGTTCCGTAAGTTGACACGGAATATCAAATATTTCGTTTCCATATCAAGCTTCACTTCTGTCCTTCGTCTCACGGTCCACTAAAATCTCCCTTTACGTTAAATACATCACAATATTATTTCGCATTATCATAACTAACACATTTCAATAAACATGTCCAATACACATAATTGTGATCACCAGCTTGTAACAATAAATAACCAATATCAAGAAGAAATCTCCGCTTTTAATACAGTTTCAAACAACGATTGTTCTTGCAAGCGTTTCAACTAATAGCCATCGCACCCAAAGACCAGAAACAATAGC